TATTATTATTATTATTATTATTATTATTATTACTTTTTTTCATTTCAATATATAGAAGGAGAGAGGAGTCCAATATGTTTGGGTTCGGCTAGGTAATCGTCGAAGGAGCATCGTTGAGTCCAACAATAATAGAGGGCCGAAGAAATGACCCGTGTAATCTATGTGCCTCCTGCAAAGCAATGAAGCCGAACAACAGTAAAAGGGCCGAGCCACCCGTGTAATTTCTCTACTTCCTCCAAAGCAACGAAGTCAGACAACAACGAAATAGCCGCAAAAGCGACTTGTGCAATCTCTACCCTCCTGGGAAGTGACGAAGGACAACAAGGAAGGAGTCAATGTCAGACAGCAACGAGGAAGATGAAGAAGCAATTCTTGCGAACACTAGACCTCCTGCAAAGCAATGAAGCCGAAGAACGACGAGGGAGCCGAAGAAGCGACTCGTGCAATTTCTCCTCTCCTGCGAACCTAGGACGAAGAACAACGAAGGATCAGAAGAAGCAAACTCGTGCAATCTTTACTCCTCCTGCGAACCGAATTCGAATGACAATGAAGAAAAGAGAAGATGAAAGGCGAACCCTAGACACCTATCCTCTTTGCTTCTAGCCGAACAAATGAATAGTGTGCCCCCAAATGAGTGGGTTTGATGGATTTTGTATCATGCGGGAAGTTATCAGAGCTAACGGTTGTGTCGCTTGGCGATCAACTGCTCGTGGTGGGGTCGGCAGAGACGAGTATGTTGTCTCGCATCTGTTCATTTCTTTGTTTTTTTCTATTATATATAGGGTTAGATAGTATAACTTCCAGTTAAAAAAACCAAAATACTTTTGCTAAGCGCCAAATCTATTTTGCAAATATGCAAAAAAAGTTCTGTTTTCATAAGATCTTCTTGACCGTGTCAAACACTTAGCAAGAAAATTCTTGGAGGCCATCATCTCATAAATGAGATCAGCTTAGTTGCTAAAGAAGCACTTACTGTTCCAGCCGCTGATTTTGATGATATGAAGGTGTGTTCCTTCAATCTGGACAACCCAAAATCACACACCTACACATCCAAAAAAAAAAAACAAAATCAAATATCCCAATGAGAACAATACGGAATTAACTAATCTGTTCAGGCTATACCTTCACTGACCAATTCTTGTCAACTAAAAGATTAGGAGTTTTAAGATCCCAGTGAACAATTGAAGGATTAAGGCAATGAAGATAATTAACTCCCTTAGCCTGATCGCATATCAAAAATCATTAGAGAAAAACAATTTTTCAAAGGGGAAAAAAAAGCTGATAGTTCTGGACAAACCACATCCAGAGCCATTCGCAATCTTCGTCTTCTGTCCAAAATTTCTCCAGCGCTTGGTCTATTTATGAGGTGGTAAAGACTGCCCCTATTTCACAAAATATAGACATCTTAGAAGCCAATATTAATATTTAATCAAACATATATGGAAGAATGCTTACGCAAACTTGCCTAGGAAGATATTCCGTTACTATTGAAAGATGTGGACGCTCCGTGACTGCACCCATGAATAGAACCAAATTTGGATGACGAACTCGATTCATTATTGCAACCTAGAAATGATTAAATCAGTTATAGTCATAGATCCACTAAGACAATAATTTGAAAATGAAGGCCATTGGACGGCAGTAATAAAATCCTTAAGAGTTCTTCATGGCAAATGCACGATAATAACTACCCAATGTGACTCTTAAAAAAAGGTCACGAGATCCTTAACTTTGATTTGGCCCTAGATGATTCAAAGAAGCCCTAGAAAAGTTTTAAGTACTTTCAATACCTGCCACCTTTGGGTTATCAAGAATATCCCCAAGCAATCCACGACATACCCTGTAGAGCTTCGGCCTCGGAAAAGAATTATGTTGCTAGCTGGGCCCCGATGGTGGTATTGGCATTTTTGGGGGATGAAAGCAGCCCCCTTTTGCGGCAGAGTGAGTAGCATTGCTTTTCCTCGTGTAGCTATAACACAAGAAGAAGAAAAAGTAGTCTTTTGCGGATTCTTGCGAAAATAAATTGAGCTGTAGGCATCAAGGGTTTAGGGTAGCCATTCCAATCTGAGGATTAGATTAAAACATTTCTGAGCAACGTGTTCAATGCCTGACATCTAGTTATCTATCCATACCCTATTATGAGCCATGTGAGTCGTTACTAGTGAGCCAATTCAACATTGATGTGCCTGCATAACTTAAAATGGTTATTGCATGATCCTGTTGATATTTAAAACACAAATTGCCTGCCAACAGATATTAGGCATTGAAAATTCTAGCAAGTTCTCATAGCTTATTAGCTTGACCCTCTGACAGTCTAGCCTACATAGACCTGAAAAAAGCAAGCTTGGAGTGGATTCCCTTGAGAAATCACAACATATTTGACTCGTGAACTGGTTCTGTTAGCCTATTAGGCGCCTTGATCTATATGAGTGAACCCTAGTGTAGGATCACATTTACTAGAGTGGTACTAAGGTTCTAAGGCTCAATATGTTGGTGTCACTTGGTTAGGTGGACACAAAGCAAGATGCAGAACAATAAACCATTCAACCCACAGTCCACCATGATCATAAAGGTTGACAAAAGTTAACACTCGATCACCTTTGACCCGATAATATTCTCCTAGTACTGAAGCATGCTCTGGCAAGTGTCATAGTGTAGCATAACACAAATTATGTTGCAGGCAATACTAAAAGATGCACCTAAAAAAATTCATAATAGGTTGCAGTGCGACTTGTCATTAAGGTTTATGCAAGAAATATTTATCAAATTTGCAAATGGACATCTCCCCCTTTATGTAGATTTTTCATGGCAAGAATGCTATGAGGCATGCCCTAATGTGGGCTCCGAAAATTCGGCCCAGGCCTCCACCTGCTTGTTTTTTTTTTGGAGTTTTAACGGAATTAAGCTTCGGGGTAAATTTTGGAAGGTAGATGGATTATAGATAAGACACTACTCAGAGATTTCACCCTCATTTTGTGAGGACTTTATGATTTGAGTTCTGCTTTCCTATAGGCGCAAGCCCCTATAGTTAATTACCCCTCTTGATAGCGAGAGAGAACTTTCGATTAAGGCTAATCATCAACAGATAGTAGAGATACGTATATCTGGCATATAGTAGCAGCATACCCCTCTTGATAGCGAGAGAGAACTTTCGATTAAGGCTAGTCATCAACAGATAGTAGAGATACGTATATCTGGCATATAATAGCAGCATGAGTTTGGAATGTTGGAAAACTTGAAGATTTGATGTTTAAAATAGAAATTTCACCACCTTGCACTTAAAGATGATGGTGGAGGAATGGATGATGGACCCGATCAAGATCCCATGGTCTTTTTTCTCGGGCCATCGTGGTCACTAGTCTACTTAGTCAGAGGAAGAAGTTGATCCAACCTGACGGAAGGATCCTTATCGGCAGCCATGGGTTGCTTTGTCCAAGGGTATCTTGTAGATCTGGGTTGGATGTTTATCTAAAGGGACAAATTTGAATCCATCTTAGCTGACAGAGGGCTTTGTGTTCTATCGATTATATCATATTGATTCATATCTCAAGGATTTGATGCTACTAAGGAACGTATTGGCTCTGACCATAACTGATGTAGACAAAGGGGGGGTCAACCCATATCCAAAATAAATCATATTTTGGCTTCCCTTGAGTCTAGAAGTTTTTCATATTTGAGCTAAACTTTTAGTTCATTTATGAGCTGAACTTTAGTTCATTTATTGAACTAAGGGTTAGCTCATTATGAGCTAGCATTTTAGTTCATTTATTATCTTTTATTAAAAGTACTTTTTATGCTTTTTATGTGGTAGTCTTTTGGGGTTCCAAAATAGGCTTTTGGAATCCCCAAATTGTGTGTTTAGTATTTCCATGAAAAAACCCCTTGGTTTCCACCAAGGTTCTTTGTTTTTGTGTTTGTCTCTTGGGAATCCATGGCTTGTATTAATTGGGGGCTGGATTCTATGCTTGAATTTATGTGGGAAGTTAATGTTTGACATTATTGTTGGCTGATATTTCTATGCATTGCCTATTTCCGAAATTGGGAGGCCTTTTCCCGTGGCTGTGCTGCTTGGGATTTTCCGCCTGTTTGCTGCCTTGGTTCCGTGAGATGTTGGCCATGGCTTGGTGGCTGAATTCAATGGGAAAGTTGCTGATTTTTCCTTTGGGAATTCAGCCAGCTTTTGGAATGCTTTTACCGAAACTTGCTGCCTTGAATTCTTGGCCTGTTTGCTGGCTCTTTGGTTTTGAGATTTGCTGGGCTGTTTTTCCAAAATGTCTTTTGGAAATCCTATGAAACTAATGCTTGGAATGTTGTGAACATTTATGAAGTGGCTTTTGGCATTCCCCTCTTTGGCCTATAAATATGAAGTATTTTGTGAAGGAAGTGTGTGTGATAATGTGATTTTTGGAGAGAAACCTGAGTGGTTTTTGGCTTTAGAAATCCTGCGGGCTCTTTCTAAGCTTCTTTCCCTCCTCCTCTGGAAATCCTGCGGGCTCTTTCCCTCTTCTTCTTGACTTCTAATCTCTTTCTTCTCGTCGCATGTATCCACCCCACATGTATCTTTCTTCTCAAGGCAAAGCTTCTTTAGGTGTCTTGTTGTGTTTGTCTTTATTGCGTCGTTTGTAAGTGTCAAGAGTTGTAAGCGTCTTGTAATCATCTTTTATATATTAAAGTGAAGTTATTTGTGGTTTATTTGTATCCTTTTGAGCATTTTGTGTCTTTATTCTATCTAGGAAGTCATTAGTCTTTTTGTGATCAAAAATTTGGGTCCCTCTCCCAAATTTTTGATTGCATCATGCCCTCTCAAATCCCCCACTGGATTCCGCCGGCCGAGAGCCCCTAGCTCCTCCCCTGCCGCCGGTCGAACCCCTCCAGCGGCCCAGCCAGCCCGCCTCTCCCCTAAGCC